ATCCGCATCTGATGCACTCCCAGACCGGCTGTTTCTGCATGTTTGCATTCACTCATTTGTTCATTCATTCATTCACCCAGCAAGCCTTAACTGAGGTGGTCTTGGGGACTCCTTTGGGGGAGGAAGCAGGGAAAATAGAATCTACCCCCTCTTGCTCAGAGATCACAGGAAAGATAAGGTTCAATAGGGGCTTGTGGGAGTTCAGAGGGGATCTTATCTCTTCCCAGGTCTGGGTATGGAACGCTGTTGTCTCTTCACTGTGAGTCGGAGTCGATTTGATGGCAACAAGTTTTGGTTGTCTCTTCATCTTGCAGGAGAAAAGATGGCACCTAGAGGCAAGGCTGCTTTGGAGAGGCGCCTGCGCAGTCGGCCCTGGGTCAATGGGCTCCCTACACTTTCACTGTGCTTATTCCTGTTCATTCCATGGGTATTTTACTGAGCACCTGTTGTGTGCCAGGCTCAAGGTGGGCTCAGCTGAGAGGCACAGACAGTAAACTGTAAGGCTAGCTTGGAAGACCTTCCTTGAAGATGAGTGGACGCTGACAATTCAGTGGGACGACAGATTCTCAGCGGCTTTCATATGTAAATTGTGGCACCAGCCTGCTCTCCTCTCCCCCAGCCTCACTGGTGTGTGCAGATCGCCCCAAAAGATTAGACAGGGGATTAAGAAGCAGAGACTGTTGCTGGGGAGCAGCATCTTGACGCTGGAAGAGAGAGACCCCATTTGTCTCTGCTGGCATTTGAGGGCACAGAGCGGTTGCAGCGACTTTGCAGCACCGGGGGCCTGGGTAGGACCTGGGGGACAGAGTCCTGTTTCTGCTCCCCGCTCTGCCCTTGCTAGTCCCTCTGCCTGGAATGCCTGTCCCTGACTCAGGTCAATGACAGCTAGGTCATTTGGTTCTTTCTGCCACTGGTACTCCTCTGACTTCCTCGTAGGGCTGTTGTAGGGGAAGAACATCACAAAGTTTAGTAAAGCAAAAAGAAAGTTTTATTTGGCATCTGTTCAAAAGGGGAAAAGTGGGAAACGGACAAGCACGCTGCCACAGCCATGTCTGCCCGAGTCCAAAGAACAGTTACAGAGCCATCAGTATATATTAACATTACAAATGGGCAAAACCATTGAAAGCTTAGCCTTTTCAGATTGGCTAGAAACTGTGATCCTACATTTTAAATTGTCTTCCTTAACAATCACTGGGACAGATTTCAGTGAGACAGTCAGGAGGGTCTTCACTGGTCCAACAAATTTCTCTTCACTAAATGCTGATAGAAAAAGATAAGAGTGGAAAGTCTTTTGTGTTGTGTTTGATCGAGTCGGCTTTATGTGAAAGTTTCCCTAAAAGATATTTTCCAAGATTATGTTAGCTATTGTCTTTACACCTCAGGGCCCAGTTGATGTGTCCTTGTGAGTCCTTGTGGACCCAGCTCCAGCTCGGTCACATTCTCTATGCTCAAGGATAGGGAATAATAACTGCAATATTATTTCCTAAATCAGGGCCTGTCTGCCTTTCCTCCCACCCCAACCTTCATGGAAGCTCCCTGGTCTGTCCCCTACCTGAAAGCCATCTCTCCTTGAAGGAGCCCACTTCCTGGCCCGCTCACAGCTGTACGCCCAGGCCCAGTGCTATGCCTGACACCAGGACAGCCACATGATTTGAGGGGCCCATGCAAAATGGAAATGAGGGACGTCTGTTCATAGATGACCAGGAATGTCACAGTACAGCACCCCCACCTGACAGCCAGGAAGCACCCAACACACACTGAAGGAGTGAGTGGATACTGGCCAGTGGGCAGAGGCCCAGCCGGGGGAGGGGCTCAGGACCTGGCCTCTGTGATAGTGGCTGGTGTCCACATGAATGACTAGGACCTTTGGTGACTAATAGACGATATAAGGCAAATTTCCAAAATGTGGAGGTAACTCATATCTCCACTTCCCGCTTCCTCATCCTGACATCAGCCACTCACATGGCGCTTTCAGATCCTAACCACCCAGAGTGGGGTCTCCACAAGTTAGGACTCTGTCCTTCTAGCCCCTGCCAAATAGGCAAACGCCAGCCCCTCTGCTGGCTCTCACCGCCCGCGGTGAGTTCGAAAATTCGCTGGAATGACTCACAGAAACTATTACCTATCCTTACGGGCGCCCATTCATTGTAGCAAAAAAGGCTACAAAGCATAGAGAAGCATCAGGCAGGTCTGGGAGACGCGCTGGCTTGAGGCCTCCATTGTCCCCAGGGACGTTCTGTCCCCTGTCCCCTGCATGGATGTTTTCACCAATCCCAAAGGCCCCAGAGAGAGCACTCCAGGGACCAGAGTCCCCCAGTCATTGGGATCTCAATGAATATGCATGACTGAAGCCTTGATGTTGTTGTTAGGTGCCACCAAGTAGGTTGTGACTCATAGCGACCCCATGTACAACAGAATGAAATGCTGCCCAGTCCTGCGCCACCCTCACAATTATTGCTATGCATGAGCCAATTGTTGTAGTCACTGAGTCAATCCATCTCAGGGAGGGTCTTCCTTTTTTTCCGCTCACTTTACCAAGCATGATGTCCTTCTCCAGGGACTGGTCCCTCCTGATAACATGTCCAAAGTAAATGAGACGAAGTCCTGCCCTGCCACTCTAGTTTCTAAGGAGTCTGAATACATAGTTAGGACAGATCCAATCAATGAACATGCGTGTGGCCAAGGAGTGACCTGTGTAGCCCCCTACTTATTTATGAGTATTTAAGTTTGGCCTGGTTGTTTTAGAAAGACAAAGAGCACTCTAATGGCTCAGGCTATTTTCAAAAGCCAGAGACAAAAAGCCAAACCAAGTTCTGTGTCCCACAGACCTGCAGGCTTGCATATCTCTTCTGCTGGCTGGGCCTCTCCTCTCTCCACCCATGTAACCCCTTAGGCTGCCATCTCGTCCAAAAGCCCCCAGAGACTCAGAGGACCGCATGGCAGATCTGCTCCGGAGAACTGGAGAAAACCAGGCTCCGGGGAGCGTCTCTCACTAGCCCTCCTGCCTCAGGGAGGACCAGCCTGGGGGCTTTCTCCAGCCCTCCAGAGAGGCTCAGCCAGGCCCCCAGCAGAAGCCTCGGTCCCCAGACTCAGCCTGAACTCCCTCTGATGACCCTCCGTCTAGCTTTGTCTGAGAATCAGTGCTTGGTTGGTTTGCCTCCTTGGGACAGCCCCAAGTGGGGAGGGAGGCATAGTCCTCACTGCCACTCTGGGTGAGGGCTTATTTTCCTCCCATTTTAAAGATGAGGAAACCGAGGCTCGGAGGAGTAGTGAGCACTGATGTTCCCTCAGCTGGCAGAGGGGAGCGGGAGGTTGTAGTGGTCTGCGGGTAGCTGGGCACAGGGTGGGCAGCTTAGTAATGTTTGTGGAAGGATGATCGAGAGGAGGACGAAGGCAGGAGGCAGAGCGGCTGGTGGGTGAGGTCTCAGGCACACACCCTCGAGTGAACAGGGTGCCTGCGCCCCAGACACTGCCCGGGTAGACGGCTGCCGGGGAAGGTCAGGCGGTGCAGGCAGGGGTATCCAGCTTGGGTGCGGGGGGCGCCTGGAAGTACATGGGGCCCAAAAGAGGAGGGGGAGGCTTCCCGGTCTCACTCCCACTGGCCAGTCAGATTTCCTTTATTCATTCCACGAATACGGACTGGGCAGCTGCGGTGGCTGCCAGGCTCTGGGTGCAGGGCACTGGGGTACAGGAGCTGCCAAATCAGGCCCCGCCCCCGCCCCCGGGGCGCTCCGCTTCTAATGGGGCAGACAGACAATAAAAAAGGCACCGAATAACTGCAACAGTAATTCCAGACAGTGAGAGAGCTCAGGAAAATAAAACAAGCGTGCGTGGGGGTGAGGAGGGAGGCAACCTTAGCTTCGCTGGCCTGGGAAGGTCTTTGGGAGGAGGTGGCCCTTGAGTAGGGACCTGGCGATGGAGAGGCCCCTGTCCTGCGAGAGACTGAGGGTGGCGGTGCTGGGAAAAATTTCTAAAAACAACAAACCCTACTCCCAACCTAGACAACCTCTGCACAGCAATGGAAGAGAGAGAAGAGTTTTATCACTGAATAAGCATTGAGCCAGAATGGGATGCATCACAGGGTAGCAATCCGCTAAAGAGATTGTAAAGACAGAAAGAAATCTCAGGCTTATAGCGCTGAGTGGATACAACCCCTCACACGTTAAAGATAAAATTGCTAATGTTCCAGTATCTTTATGGCAGGACACCTAAAGTTATGTTAATCTCCTTCCAGGAAACTGGGAGGTAGGCGTGTGAGCTTCCTTGATGATTACATTTCAAAAGAGACGGCTCCCAGGACCTTGAGAAACATCCTTGATTTACATACTTTTCAGAAAGACAAAGAGAGAGTCTACCATTCCACGTTATCTAAAGTGAATTGTGAAAGAACAGGGGAGACTGTTCCCTGTTTTCAACGGGGAGAATTAAAATCTCTTATTTTCAATTTGTATTTGTCCTTACAGAGGGCGAGGGGTCAGGGAGCGTTCCAGGCGGGGGGGTGGGGGGTGGGAAGAAACGCACGTGTGAAGTCAAGCTGTCGACAAGTTTGGGGAGGTGCGGCGGTCCTCGTGGTTGGAGTGAGGAAAGCCTGAGACAGAGCCGGAGGGGGGCAGAGGGACCAGACAGACTCAGGGGCCACCTCCTCCGGGAACTCTTCCCCGATTCCCTCTTTTCCTCCGCGCTCCTCCCGCCGCTCAGCCTCTCCTCCCGCTGCCCCGATCCTCAGTCCCCGCTCAGTTCCCTTCCCTGTTCCGACTACGAGCCCCGAGAGGGCAGGGCCGGGTGGGAGTCCTTCCTCCATATGCCCGCGGCGTCTGGCCTGGCGCTGGGCACCCCGTGGGCACTCGGTCAATATTTGCCGAGCGCACTAGAAGGACTGAATGAATCCATTGGGCGCAGCAGGGGGGAGGGCGGGGCCGAGGCAGGTGGGAGGCCGCCGGCGCGGGAGGGGCCCCTGGAAGCCCGCCCTTCTCCTCCTCCTCCTTCTCCTCCCAGGCCCCAGCGCGTACAGTCTGGGGCTCCCGAGGCGTCTTCTCGTGCGATCTGGGGCGCGCAGGGCGGGGAGAGCGGTCCGGGGCCCCTGCTCTCGGCGCCGGAGGTCGAAAGCCAGTGGGTCGCCGCCGCCCGATAGGAGAGCGCTCTCGAGAGCAGTGGGAGGAAGGAGCGCCCGCTCGCCGCCTCCCCGGCGCTTGCTCTCCCGGCTCAGAGGTTTGCGGGCTGCTCCTCCCACCCGCGCCAGGCTCCTCGCTCGCTGGAGCCGGTTTCCAAGCCCCGCCGTACGCCCAAGCGAGTGCAGGGCGAGGGGCCCCGGGGCCAGCCCGAGCCGGGGTGGGGGTCCGGGCAGCGCACAGCCGGCCGGGGAGGGGCCATGTCCGGCGCGGGCGCAGCGGGGCCCGTCTGCAGCAAGTGACTGAGCAGCGTGGACGCCGCTGCCCCCCTCCGCCACCTGGGGCGGCGCGGGCCCCGGTGCCCGGAGCCCGGTGCCCGGCCCGCGCGGAGAGCCAGCGCGATGCACGTGCGCTCGCTGCGCGCCGCGGCGCCCTCCAGCTTCGTGGCGCTCTGGGTGCCTCTGCTCCTGCTGCGCGCCGCCCTGGCCGACTTCAGCCTGGACAACGAGGTGCACTCGAGCTTTATCCACCGGCGCCTCCGTAGCCAGGAGCGGCGGGAGATGCAGCGCGAGATCCTCTCCATCTTGGGCTTGCCCCACCGCCCGCGCCCACACCTCCAGGGCAAGCACAACTCGGCCCCCATGTTCATGTTGGACCTGTACAATGCCATGGCGGTGGAGGAGGGCGGCGGGGCCGACGGCCAGGGCTTCTCCTACCCCTACAAGGCGGTCTTCAGCACCCAGGGCCCCCCTCTGGCCAGCCTGCAAGATAGCCACTTCCTCACCGACGCGGACATGGTCATGAGCTTCGTCAATCTCGGTGAGTGCGGGCAGGAGGAAGGGGGCGCGCGCCTCGGCTGAGGGGCGCCTTGCCACAGGGAGGGGGTCACTACTTACAGCCAGCCTCCCACCTTTCCACTCGGCCCCTTGCATAGCTGTCAGTGCCTGGCTGAGAGTCTCCCACCTCCAGCCCTAGAGGACCCCAAGCTGTGCTCGCCCCAGGTAGGGCGAGGCAGGCTCAGCTGGCCTGTGGATGTTACTGGAAGTGGAGGCACCCACCCGAAGCCCCCTCCGGGTTACGCCGCCCGCCGCACATCTGGGGCCGCGGGCGCCGGCCCTGGTCGCGGCTGAGTTCAAAGCGCGGGGCTCGGTCATGTGAGCCGTCGCTGGCCGGCGCGCCGCTAGCTACCTGGATTTAAAGGGCCCTTCTCGGAGGAGCTGCCTTCCCGCCCGCCCTTGGCCCCGCTCACCCTGCCTGGCCCTGGCCTCCCGGGCCGCGCGGCGTCCCGGTCCCCGCCCTGGCAAACCCTACCTGTCCCCTCGCGGTGCGCCCACCTTTGCGTGCTGCGCGCCCGGGAGCCTCGGGGCCTCTCTCCGCCGCCGGCGCCCCCCTCTCTCGATCTCCCCGCCGGAGCCAGGGAAGAAACGTTGCCATTGCGAACTTTCTATTTTAAATATTTAATGATAGGTCCCGGGCGGGCAGAATCCATTTTCAGCGTTTATCACGTGTGGCGCGCAAACCACCGGTTTTGGCGATTGGGCGGCGCGGAATCTCCGAGCAGACGCCGCCGGGGGCGGCGGGGGGACACGGCTCTCGATGAAGCCGCGCCAGTCCCGGGACGCGAGCCTGGGGCTGCGGCGGTGCCCCGGGGCGCCCCTCCATAGCATCCGCGCGAGTTCACCAATCTTGCTCAAACTAACCCCCGGCCGCGCGCTGTAGGGCCGATGATCAAATATTTGGTTTCCGAGATAACACACCCCGAAAGCGCTGTTTCCCGAGCCGCTTTCATTCTACCTGTGTAACTTGCAGCGAAAACCCGAGCAGAGTCAAGACAGCAAATTTTCGCCCACGGGCGCTGTGTCAACATGGAAATAATGACCCTAAATCCCCACGCTGGGCACCTGGGGAGCGGACGGGGGCGGGGAAGCGAGGATCCGCGTGAGGTCTTCCCGCCTCAGATAAGGTCGGCGGAGTCCCGGGGACGCCATTGTCCACCCTAAATGATAGCCCAACCCAAATAGCGAAATGCGCTTCAGCGAGCAAGGGGTGGGAGGTTTCGATGGCAAAGTAACATTTAAAAAGTTTTTATACGAGGCTGCCTGTTAAGAACGAGGCAGCTCCATATGCCCTGATTTAGAACAGTCTCCAAGACGTATGGGGTGGAAAAAAGCAAGGTCCAGATCAGTGAACTTACTTACATATATGTTTGTGTATCATCCGTGTTCTGGCAACAGACTCCGTGAACTGGAAATAAATTTTACTGGGGGGGGGGGGGGGGCAAAACTGGGGCGGGGGCTTGGGGGGGGGGGTGGGGGTCGGATTTTTCAACGTCTGACTTTTTTTTCTTGCACTGTGTGTTTATTGCCTATACCAAAAACTGAAAAACAATTCTAAAAATAAGAATAAACCGAAGTGGCACTCTGTAGCGGCCCTGAAGCCCGGTTTTACCAGGGCCTTCTCTGTCTGGGATTTCTGGCATCTGGTGTTGGATTGGGTATCCGGGACTCCCAATGCAGCAGGTCCCAGCCGCCTCCTTCACAGCTCAGCCGGGGTCATTACAAAGGCAGTTGGAAGCCCTGGCTTCCGTAGACAGCTCTGCAAACCCATGCAGAAAGCGGCTAATGCTTAGTGACTAGCAACTTGGCCAGATCCCGGTGGCCCCCCACCCCAGGGGAGGAGCAGTTTTGCTCACTGGATGCCTCTGGGGACTCGGGGCAGAGCTGTTTGCTCCCGTGGGTGGTGGGAGCAAGCCGGGACTCGCCCGGGACGGCCACAGCTGGGTGGTTTTCCTCCTCTGGCTGAGCACACACCTTTCAACCCCGCTAGTCCCATTTCTTTCATCTTGAAAGGACAAAGACTGGCTTGTCTGAGCCTCTCAATCCGCTGGGCTGGCTTTGGGCTCTGGGACAGCCTTGCCTGACATTCTCAGGTCTCATCGCTCCAAATTAGATGGCGGAGTGGCTTCAACAGGGTGCTCTAAGCGTGTTTTCTCACTCTGTCTCTGTCTCAGCTGAGGGTAATTAGTTAGGTGAAGGCCTGGACTCAAGTTTGTGAAGACCCTGCTAAGCTTGGCCTTTAATTTCTGCTCAGCAACAGCCCGTGAATAAAGTGTCTGGCCCTTCTGTTCTATCCTGGCTCCGGAATTTCTCCTCGGAGGGGCTTGGGTGACAGTGGGGTTGGAGAGGGTCTGGGGGGTGGGGTGGGGCTGGGGGAGGTGTAGAGGACATGTCCTGAAGCTCAGCTTGCTGAGAAAGCTGTGCTTTCTCCTGGGATTGCAAATCACAATGCCAAGTTTTCGCTAGGGGCCTTTATTCACACTTCACCCAAGAGTGAGAAAATGTCACGTGTTCATTACTTGTTATCGTCTGGGGAGACTTTGGGAGCGAGGATGGAGATCTTGCGGGGGGGGGGGGGCGGCGCTGGCCTCCTTGCCCCCTCCAAAGCATGCTACTGCTGTCCTGCATCTGTGCATGGGGACCGCTGCCTGGATGCTGAAGGCTTTTGCAGACCTGTGCGATTATTCTTCCTTAACTGGTTTTTGTTCCTATAAGTTGCTCTCCTTGGAATCCAAGCTTTTTGCCAGGCTGAGCGGGAATCTGAAGGAGAGGGGAATTTACGACAAAACCAGGCGCTGGGAACGAGGACTTCAGACGGCACCTTATGACAAAGACCATCCTGTACCGTACAGCCCTGCGTGCTAGCTTAGTGGCCTGAGTGCCCCTTAGGTTCAATGGTGAGATTCGTGAACTTGTTTGGACTGACAAGCCCCCGACCCTTCTGTGCAGACTTCATTTTGGAATTCAAAACCGGCCACCCCCTCTTACGTACTCCCTGGGCAATGGCGATTCTTCGCAGCGGACCCATCGGTGGCCCCTCACCATTCTTTGGAAAAATCCAGCAGCTGAGCTTGGACTCTTCTCTAGAAGTCACTGGCAGTGGGGACGGGCGGTTAGTGTCTATCTCTCTGGCCCGGGTTATGAAGGCACCAAATCGGTTTAATCTTTGAAGCAAAATTAAAAAAGAGAGAGAGAAAGTTGGAAATCCCTCCTTATGGGAGGCAGCGGATAAAAGTGGCTTTTGTTTCTGTAAGCCTGAGCGTGGGGAGAAGGCTGTGCAGTTTGAGTTTTACTTTATACCATCTGGCTATCCTTTTTGTTGACAAGTGTTTGGCATTAAGAGCGCTCCTTTTGCCCCTTAAGAACAGGCCCTACCACTGTAGAGTATTAGAAAAAGATTCTGTTACAGTTTAAAAATTTCCTTCAGGGAGTGCTTCGCGAAGGGAGCATGGACTGCAGGCATTTGCAGCTGTAACCTGGATTGTGTTAAAATTTGGAAGGGCCGCTCCGCATTCCAGCAGTGGAGCGCCGGCCCTCCCTGGTAAGCAGCCAGAGGTTAATATAGATGTCACACAGTCTCCCCCTTCTTTCTCTCTCTTTCTTCCTTTCTGCAGAGTGCCTTCTCTATAGGAGTGCACCAACAGCTGTGTTTTTAGAAACCCTTTCACCATTACTGCTTTTAAACCTCATTTTCCTGCTTATATAAATCAAAGATTTCCCCCCCTTTCCCCAAGGATGTGTGACCCAGATTTGAACTTTTTTGATCCTGCGTGTATTTTCCTGCTGGAAGCAAAGCAGGTTACGGCTGAGTCCCGGATGCCAGCTTGGGTGGCTCTTTTTGGTTTCCGGTCCAGGGTTGTCACTGGGTTGCGGAATGGACCCTGTTGAAGGCGCAGTAGGCTGGCAAGTCTCCGCGGTGATACACACAGCTGGTGCGCGATCCCCATCACCAGAATGCCTGCGATATGAGCAAATATCACATGTCCCTGAACTCGCAGACAAGTGGTGACTTCATTCCAGGGAGAGTCCCATCTAAATTGATTGATCACCCCTATCGCTTTAATATCTTTCTGGGTTTTCTTTTTCCCCCCTTTTGGGTAAAGTCATATTTGGCCCATTACAAGAATCAGAGTGTCCTAGCACACCCCCTGTCCCCACCCTTCCCGGCCTGCCCACCCATTTCACCAGCTGGACGTTCTGAATGGATTGCCCTTGCACCGAGCTGCTGGCCACGTTCATTTTTCCCTGATCTCTCTTTAGTCCTTGGGTGGGGGCTGTTGACACACTGGTTGTTTGGCAGCCCTTGTGCGTTCTGGTAGTGTCACTGGGGTGAGGGTGGCGAAGGCAGGGAGCTGTGGAACCTGTCATTTGATCGTCGGTGAGCATCAGGTTCTGAAGAGGGGCGGTGGGAGAGCCCACAGCTGTGTACACTTACTCCAAAAGATTGAAGTCCCACTGGTAAAATCAATATCTTGAGTTGCACGACCCTCTGCTTTTAATTAGTTTAAATCAAATGTGCCGGTGACATTTCGCCTCCTCTCGACTTCGTGGGGTGAGGAAATACCAATATTTACATAGAAACTGTTAATTTGTGGCGAAAATGATAACACATTGAGCTTCACACACCCAAATTGCTCCAGTGTGATGGATCCCAGCGATGGATCCCAGATCAGTGTGGCCTTGAGGGGTGACCTCCCCAGGGAGAGGGAGCAGAGAGGTGACATTGGTGGCAATGTCTCTTGTGGGGACCCTGGCTGCTAGGACACAGGTGGCTCTGTCTGTGGGCTGAGTACCTGAGGATGCTAGTATTTTGGGAACTTGCCCCGCGTCTTTCCATTGCAAGTCAGAAATACTGAGATTCACCCACGTGCCACGGAAAGTCCTTTCTTGAAGCATTCCTAAAATATTGTGAAGCAAGAACTTGCCCTTTTGGTTGTTTTTGAGTCCGTCCTCCTAGCACGCTGGGTTCTTTGCGCTGGGCGG